TTATGGTGGCGGGCAGACCGCTGTTGCCGCCACTGCCGCTGCCACCACCACCGACACCACAGCGTGCGCGTGCGACCCCAATCTGCAGTCCTTGAAGTGAGAGTCTTTTTAAAAAAATTTATTATTATTATTTTTTAATATATCTGTATTAATTTCAGAGAGAGAGAGAAACATCAATGATGAGAATCATTGATCGGCTGCCTCCTGCACGCCCCCGACTGGGGATCCAGCCCACAACCCGGGCATGCGCCCTGACTAGGAATCCAACTGCGATCTCCTAGATCCTAGGTCGATGCTCAACTGCTGAGCCAGCCTGGTCGGGCTGAAATGAGATTTTTTTTTTTTTAAATATATCTTTATTGATTTCAGAGAGAGGAAAGGAGAGGGAGAGAGAGAGATAGAAAAATCAATGATGAGAGNNNTTTAAATATATCTTTATTGATTTCAGAGAGAGGAAAGGAGAGGGAGAGAGAGAGATAGAAACATCAATGATGAGAGTCATTGATCAGCTGCCTCCTGCTCGCCCCTGACTGGGGATCGAACCCACAACCCGGGCATGTGCCCTGACCGGGAATTGAACCCGAACGCCTGGATCCTAGGTCGACCCTCAACCACTGAGCCATTCCCAGCAGGCCTGAAATGAGATTCTTGATGGCTGAGATGGCCCTGTCCAATCTTTGCATGTTGCAAGCACTGAACTATTATTCTTCCTAAAGACTAATGGAAAGTTCGGTTTTTACTCTAAAACAGTGCAAATCTCATTTAAACCTACAGTTTGGTTAAAAAAAATAGAAAGAACAGAACTGAAGCCGAGTGTCACCTCTTTCTTCATCTGGATATAAAATGTTTTGTAGAAGGTGAGGAGGGTAGATTGGTTGGTCTTTTCTTCATGGGACCTGCAACTCGAAGGTTAGTTTTATATGGGGAAGACAGACTGTTTGAATGAAAGATGTTTCAAATTATCTAACTGATTGCTTTTCTAATTTTCTTAAAGCTCTCTTGGGAACATGATTTTGTTACTTGTTTTGGGTGTCCAGGCCTAATAAGGATGCTTAGCACACATGACTTTAGAGTAGGTAGAGCCACAAATCTCTTTACACCAAAAAAAGTCCGGGAGCTATTTCTATTGATGGAAATACTTGGAAGTGAGTTTAAAGGAAATTAGTGAAATCCAGTTTAGACTTTTAAGGAGTACTTATTAAGAGAATCTAGAATCTCTTGGTGACTGAGAGCAATTATAGAATCTTCCATGGAAACAGAATAGGGAACTCTGAGGTTAGTTGTTGTCAACCCTGGACTCTAGGTAACTAGAAAATAAAAATGACAAAATCATAACCCTTTCCTCTTTTCCACATGCCTAAAAATGGGGGAAATGGCAGTTTGTAAAACTGGTTAACCTATCTGCCTGTGTTGAACACTAGCTATGGCTAGGAGTGAGGGTCTGTGGTCAACAGTGTTAGTCTGGAGTATCCCCGCAGGAATCTCACAGGTGCTATGGATTTTTCTTAAACCAAGGAGCAGAGGAGGAGGGAGAAAGAGAACGGTGGGGCTGTGTGAGGCCATTCTGCCACAGAGGCTGCCCTTTAGAATTTGACCCAAAAATCTCTCCCTATCTCTGGAGGATGCAGGAAGTTCCAGGGTGGTCTGCTGGGGAATCCCAATATATGTGTTTAAGACTACTTAAACCCTGCTTTTGTTAAATATTTCAAATGCAAAGAAATTGAAAACTGTCTGAGCCTTGGCCTAGTAGCTCAGTTGGTTAGAGTGTCAACCTGATACACCAAGGTATTGGGTTCCATCTCCGGTCAGGGCACATACGAGAATCAACCAATGAATGCATAAATAAGTGGAATAACAAATTGATGTTTCTCTCTCTCTAAAAATCAATAAATAAAAATCCTTTAAGAATATGTAAGAAAACAACTGTCTGAAAGTTGCTGAAATTATCAGGTTTTGGATAAGACAGGCACATTGGTGGAACTCTGGAAGATTCCCCTTTATCTTCTGTGACATCTAAGCACAAGTCCTCTTTGTAGGCAGTTTCTGCATTTCACATTCTACGTGGGGGTGCGGGGGACAAACACTGGAAAACTATAGTGTATTATCTATTGCTGTATAACAAATCATCCCCAAACTTAGCTTTGAACAACAAATAATTTAAAATTTAAAAACACAACAAATATTATCTCTCACAATTTCTGAGGGTCAGGAATGGGAGTGGCTTAGCTGGGTGCTTGCTGCTGGCTAAGTGTCTCTTAGCTGTCCACTGGGGCTGCAGTCTCTGAAGACTTGCCTGGGCCTAGAAAATCCCACTTCCAAACTCGTAATTTGCAGGAGGCTTCAGTTCCCCGTCAGATGGGCCATAGGGCTGCTTACAACATAACTTCCCCCACAGCAGGTGTTTCGAGAGAGAGAAAGCCCAAGATGGAAGCTATAGTTTTTTATAGCTTAATCTGGGAAGTGATATACCATTACTTCACCTGTGTTCTATTGGTCACATGGTGCACTGTGGGAGGACAATACAAGGGTGGAAATAGCAGGAGGCAGGCATCACTGGGGCCTTCTTCTAGGCTGCTACCACATACATGATTCTGAAATTAAAATTCCCATGCAGTAATAAAAACCTGTTCTTAAAGTTCTGAAATGAATCATAACCTTATATCAAGGTTTTTATTAAAATTTTGAAGGATTTTCCCCTTCACTATTTTATATATGAATAGAAATTAATATATTTTTAGATTTGTCTTATAAAATGTATTTTGTAACTTGAGTATTATATTTCAATAAAAGGCGACTGTCTATTGAGTACACTTCAGAGCAGGTAGGTTTCTAATTAACCTGGTAAGAGAAAAGGAGGTACTCTTAGCTGATAATTTCCTATCACTCTACATTTATAATTTAGTTGGCAAAACAATTCGAGAAAATATCCAGAAGATGACAATACCTCTACTCTTAATGCAGTGCTCTCTTACAGGATCCAATTCGTAGTATGCCCACCCAGCTAAGAAATCTAACCCTTTGTTGCCTAGGATAGTCATGCTTAAAGCCATATAAGTGATTAATACTTTAATAAAAATGAACTTTTCAAATCATTAGGGTAATAGTCATTTCATAATCTCCCCAAACTCTCAAACTAATCCTTTCTGGCCTTTGCAATTTAACTTAAACTGTCTATAGATCTCTACCACTACTTTATGAAGCCAATAACATTTTCTGAATTGGCAGTTATTTTTCCAGACGTTTTTGTTACTGACACACGTTTGTTATTTCCCAGAATTTGTGTTTTATACAGAGTTTAATAAGTCATGAGTTCCTCCTTAGGTCCTCCGAGCTTCCTGGCAAAGCACAGGCTAAAATCCAAAGAACTGCCTCATCTTTGCAAATATAATGCTAAAACCACTTTTCTCCTTTCTTTCAAAACCATGAACCCACATACTGTGTCCCAGGGAGAGGCGGAGAGCAAATCATATTGCTGGGTGAAAACAAGGCACTCTGAGATGAAACAAAGCCTTGTAGGGGAAGGAAACCACTTCCTGCGCTGCTTCTGACCTTGACAACTCACGAATACCCCCGGAGGTGGAGCTGACCCCCAACCCCACAAAAATGGAGGCTACGACATATTACAGGAACTGTGACACAAAGCTCTTAACAGTTTGAATTTATATTGTGCATGTCTCTTTATTTTGAAATATAAAATTTTAAACAAAAAGAATTTCAAAATACACGAGTGCATATTTGTTGTAAAAATTTCATATGTGAGTATACACAGTAGAAAAGCCAAATTTCTTCGAACCACTCTTCTCAACCCCAATTCCTTTCACAGAAGTAACAGCAAAAAGGCTTGGGAAAAACACACAGCTTTCCAGATCTGTTATTTAAAAATACAAATAGTTTCGTAGCGTGCTATGCATTGTTTAACATTCTTTTCTATTTAAAGTCTTAGAGATTATCCCATGTTACTGCACTGCAGCACTTCCTCCTCCTTTTGACCAGTTATATAACAGTCTGCAGTATGGCTGTGCTGTGATTTAACCACTCCTCTCCTGGTGGCTGGCTGCCAATTCTGCTGTGAATACCCTTCAGTGCATGCTCTGCGCCCACTTGCACAGGTCTGTACAAAAGAGGCCCACAGGTTGATGTCCCTGTACACGCCACATTTGCTTTTAAGCGCTCTCTGGGAATATCTTCCTTTGTTTCAATTTCAATGCAATTAAATGCTGCCAGTATAGTTTTCTGAACATCTTAATTTATCAGAGCAGACATTATACCAAATAAGATGAAAGCTCATAGACTATCATCTATACCTTTAAAATCTTCACATTTGCATTTATTCAGTGCCTAGCACATGGTTGACACTGATAAATGTTTGTTGGATAGATAAGGGAAAGCTAAGAGGTATGAAGAAAAAGTGATCATAACCCCACGTTTCGAAAGTTGGAAATGAGGTCTTAAATTGGTTAGTGAGTCAAGATTTAATCTGATGCCAAGCTGCTAGGAAATATTTCAAATTTTCTGAGTTTGGGGGGAGTTGTAAGATGAATGAAAACTTCTGACTTTACGACTGAAGTCATCTCAAGGAACTCCACAAAATTGAGGGAGAAGGAAAATGTAAGGTTAAAGGCCAAACAGTAACAAGAAAGATGAAAGCAGGAAGTTACAGGCACATCTGCATTCATCCAGGTTTTAGTGCTCGGCTTCACTTGGACTATTCCTCCAGGCAGCAGGGAACATGGCAATTCTGTCCTTGAAGGTTCAGAGGCAACTGTCCAGTTAAGCACCCCAGCAGAGAATGGGACAGTAGTTTCACAATTCAGGAAACAAACAAAGTCAGAAGTGGAAGATTTTTTGGGTAAAAGGAAAAGAGGAAGTATGAATGAATTGGCGAATCTGTTGAAAGAAAACAATGTCTTTGAATTTCCATAAGAATGTTGAAATTTTATTCCTAAATCTAAGGAAGGACCAGGCTTAGATAACAGTATAACTGACATTTATATCTACATGTGAATGCTCCTAAGCTACCCAGTTGACCCTTCAATCGGTGAATATTCACTGAGCACAGGAAGGCCATTCCCAGTGCTCAGCACTTGGGATCTAAGTGAACAGAAAGAGCTGTGACTATCAAGGCAGTTTACTTTTCCTAAGTGCCACGAACAAGCCAGCAACTGTGGAGCTTTCCCCAATATCCCTGTTTGTGATGCTGACCTGGCACCCCCCCCCACTGGTCAGTCAAGTCACTGGGTTCTCCAGCCCCCCACTGACCAGCCTGGGCCCACCTCCTTGCCCTACCGCCTCAGGCCACCAGATGAGGTAGTTAACAGTTCTGTAACTAATTGGAAATGGCTAGAAAATGGCCTTTCAGGAAATTTTTTTCTTGCCTTCTTCCAAAAAGGAAGGATTTATATCTCAACCTTTTACATCACAGCTTGCCCCTTGGGGATCCTCATGAATTAGACTTTCAGGAAGGAGGGGATGGGGTGGGGCAGGACTTGTCTGCCAGTGGGCAGAGAACTCTGCATGACCCTTCACACAGGCCTGGCCAAACACAGCCTTTACTGTGTTAAGCAGCCCGAGTTTAGGACCAGAAAAGAACCTCATTTTTTAAATGGTAACAAAACAAAACAAACAAAGCAAAAGAAAAACCCCCCAAAACCCCTGGATAACAGTTTTGGCATAAGAGTATCTGATATTTTTTGGTCACATAGATCACACAACACCAAGCTTATGAATATAAAAAAAAATACCCCCGAAGAGTTAAAGGAAAGTTCAGGAAAAGACAACAAACATTCCTTTTTGGTTGGAGAGTTTTCCCTTTTGTGCAGAAAAGGACGGCTGGGATGGAAGCCGTGCTGGTTTTCAAAGAACATGTCTGATTTTTGTCAAAGGGCAACCTAAAAGAAAATATTTAATTTTATTTGAGGAAGAAGAAAAGTAAAATACTGAAGACAGTTATTTTAACAAGTTTTTCTTATGGAAATTAACAAGTTGCTATTAATACCACAGCTAAGAGCTGGGCATCATCAGTGTCACCCTAGGGCTGACATGCTTTTTGATTATGTTATAAAGTTGATTCACTAAAGTCTAGACCAACAACTTCAGATATATTTGGCTAAACAAAGCTGGCAGGGAGTCTATGGTGAATTACTTCACATGTGAAACCATCAACTAGAAAGAGCCAAAGCCCAGTGTCCTTTCTCTCAAATAATGACATAGGGAAACTTCAGATGAGACTGTGTGTGTTCATTATGACCTTACATAAGAGAGCAGACATCAAAAAGATGAGGCTATTCTATTCTTATTTAACATCAAATGCCTAAACTCACCTCAGGCCTCCCCTTCAGGTGTCTGTACCCCAGGTTCCTTTGAATTCAGTTTTTGATGCTGTAGATAGAGGCTGTCTAGCTTCTGCAGATCCTCTGTAAGACCATTTCTAAGATCTTCATTGTTTCTTAGAAATTCTTTTACCACCTCCAGTGGATTTAAGATCTGCAAAAACAAACCATACAATTTACAGTTCAGATAATTTTATAGCACGCTTGTAATTCAAGTGAAAACTTACTAGCTCCAAGACTGGCTCCTGCTCATGTGTCTACCAACAGACAGAAACCTTGGCTATAGGCACCTGTCCAAAAACAGGTTAAGGTTTGAAAAACAAACCCTTTAAAACCAAGTATCCTCTACTCAAAATAAAACCCAGGCTAGCTGGTTCTGTGCCATACAAGGGGGTGTTTACTTGCCTCCTCAAATTTTTTAAAAACTTCCTGCATTTGTATGAAAGGGCCATACACACAACACACACAGATGATCCTCAACTTATGATGGGGCCACATCCTGATAAACCCATTGTAAGTTGAAGACATAAGTAAAAAAATGCATTTAATACACCTAACCTACCAACCAACGCAGCTTAGCCTAGCCCAACTTAAACATGCTCAGAACACCTACATTAGCCTATAGTTGGGGCAAAATCATCTCACTGCCGCTGCCCAGCACCACGAGAAAGTATCATACTGTATATACTAGCCCAGGAAAACATAAAAATTCAAAGCATGGTTTCTACTGAAATACGTTATCTGTGTCGCACCATTGTAAAGTTGAAAAATCATAAGTAAAACCATTGTAAGTTGGGGACCATCTGTATATGTATACACATATATGTATACACATACACATATACGTATATTATTACATATCTAAAAAAATAAAATGAAGCCCTTTCATTTTGAGTTTTGTACCTGTACATGTATTACTATTAAATATATAGCTATACACACACATCCATACATGTAGATATATACATGCATGGTTATCCATATGGATGTATATGGATGTTTCTGTGTATATCTATTTAATAGTAATACATGTACAGGTAAAAACTTCAAGATGAGTACAAGGGTACAAGGTAAATACTCGGTCTTCTTCCAAACCTGTCTTCAGTCACCTAGCTCCTCCCCCCGGAGGTGACCACAGTGAAGTTTCTTGGTTTCTTCCAGAGATATTGTCTGCATTCCCATGTGAGCATGTGCATATATTGTACACACCTTTAAAAATATATAATTGGTAGCGCACTAGGTGTTGTTCTTCCACTGATCTTTCCTACATCAGATTATAAAAGAGTGGCCTCGTTATATTTTTTACTGGCTGAATCATATTTCAGTTACAGATGTTTCACATTTTAACATACTATTTCAAACCTTCTGTTAAGGCCAATAATGCTGTATATGTGTCATTTTGCATACAGTGACAAGTCTATTTGTAGGATGTTTTTAGAAGTGAAATGCAGCTTTAATTCTGATGGAGTTTTCTGTTTTTTTAGTAGATTTTGCCAAAACTTCTATCTGTTGAGGTTGTACCAATTTAAACTCCCACCAGTAACATACTTCCTGATATTTAAACTAATAAATGTTCTCTCGGAATAGTACCATGGAAGTGTACCATGGGCTTATCCCAGGACCCCCTTACTGGTCACTGTGCTTATTACAAAGATGAGAGTTACTCGTATTTTTGGCTGTGATGAATTTTTTTTAAAGGAGGAACTCCAACTCCAAGCTAAGTCAAGGTGATCTAAATCTAATGAAGAAAAGTGGAGGAGCACCCTACCCTCTAACAGAAAGGTGGTTCTTAAAACTTTAGTGTACATGATTGATTCTGATGCAGAAGGTCTAGGGGGGGAGCTAAGCAAGCACTCAGGTGATTGTGATGTCAGTGAATGAAACAGCGAGAGATGCCTGCTAGGGACAGAAGGGAGGGGAAGACTGGCTGCAGCACGAGGAATAGGGAGCAGGGAGGGCCAGGGGGAGGCCTTCAGATAGGATAGTAAGTACACGGGACGTGCCCTTCAGCTGGAGCTGTTTATTACACGGCTGGAAACAAGCCGACAGTTCCTGAAAGACACCTGGGCTTTAAATAATGACTCTGGAAACCATACACACGTAAAATGAAGACTATGCCAATGACAATACTCACAGCATACACGGTACACTGTGGGCACTGCACTGTTAGCCTATATTGCCTGTGCCTGGTGCTCTAGAAGCAACCCCAGGGTCCTTCCCACGGTGGGTGCCTGTGACCGCTGACTGGGTCTTCCCTCTCCCTGCTTGGAGACCTTCTAATCTGATGACTTGGCAGCTGTGATCCTTTGTGCTGTCATCTACTCCTCTCTGCCCCTGAAATGTGCTTAAGAGGGGCAATTATTTTAGCTTGGTTAGGTGGGGAGAGGGGAGAAAAAGTCAAAAGAAGTTTTTAAAAAATTCTTATTTGTAAAGGGGGAAGAGAAAGTAGAGATGGGAAAACTGAAGTGAAGTACTAGAAAAATTATGGAATGTAGTCAGTCAGACCTACTTGGATATTGAAGCCCTACTTTGTCACTTAACCAGCTGCGTGACTTTGGACAAGATACTTGAGCTCTCTGAGCTTACTTCCACATGTGCAAATAAAGGATGGTGCTACCAACCCCACCCAGTATTCTTGTGAGGGTTAGAAATAACCTTCTGAAAGCACTCAGCACTGTGTCCAGGACATTCCTTCCTTCCTACATTCATTTAACAAATGTTTAGTGAGAGTCTGTCTACCATGAGCCAGGGACTATTACAGGCAAAAGATGCTTAGCATTCTTCCAGTCCCTTAAGCCAAAACTTGGGCTTGTCTTCGGCACTTCTCTCTCTCACATGCCACATGTGTCCACCTTCTCACCACCCCTACACTTCCACCTGGGTCCAACTACCATCTCTCTTACTTGGTAAATGCAGCAGCCTCCTAACAGGTCTCCCTGCTTTTATCTTTTTTTTTTTTTAATATATAGTTATAGATTTCATAGAGAGGAAAGGAGAGGGATAGAGAGATAGAAACATCAATGATGAGAGAGTCATTGATTGGCTGCCCCCTGCACACCCCCGACTAGGGATCGAGCCCGCAACCCGGGCATGTGCCCTGACCGGGAATCGAACCCCAATCACCTGGATCCTGGGTCAACGCTCAACCACTGAGCCGCACCCGGCCGGGCTCCCTGCTTTTATCTTTAACCCCCACCCCCACCCCTCCCAGGTATCCTCAACATAGCAGCCAGTGTGCTCCTTTTGTCATTCTGCTGCTGGGAACTCTGCCATAGCGCCCATCTCAGGAGTAAGAGCCTAGGTCCTCCTCAGTGGCCCACAAGGCCCAAAGTGACCTGCCTCCTCCATCTTCACTCTCTCACCTCCTCACTCACTATTCTCTCCCTCACCCGACTCCAGCCACCCTAGCTCAACTTTCCGCTGTTTCCTCTGCGTGAATGCTCTTGCTCCAGATATACACCTGGTTAGTCCTCACCTCCTCCAAGGCGCTGCTAAGTCTCTCCTCAACAAGGCCACCCCAACCACCCTACTGTAACCCGATACTCATCCCCACTCTGCTGTTCCTGATTTTCCATACTCTGCTCAACACAGTACTTCGAAGGCACATCATTTACTTAGTCTGTTGACTGTTTACTATCTGTCTCTCCCTACAGGGATCTTTGTTTTGTTCACTGATGCACACCAAGCTTCTAGAACTGTGCCTGCAACACAGTAGGTGCTTGCTCAGAAAATATTTCTGGAATATAACAAAGTGTCATTTCAATCCTTTCCCTGAATGCCTCCAGTACATTCTGTCACTGTCCCTTCTCCCCAAGCTTCCCCATGGATCTTTGTAAAGGTGGTTTCCTCACCAGGGTTTACAAAATCAGTAATGACTTTCAAAAATGTGCAAGTTCTTTCTGTTTTTTTAGTCACTTACTGCACTCAATGTCCTTTAGCTGAATTTTTAAACTCCCATGTCCAAACAGAGCATGGAAGGCCAGCAGGGCTATGTGAAGGGCTCTTGGGTGACAGCTGAATTATGCTGCAGCTGGGCCCTTGGTGGACACACTCCACACATGTCCCGAGGGACATGACCAGCTGCTGCTCCCAGGTGGCTCTGAAGCAGAACGCAATTTACAATCACAGTTATACATGCATAGTGTATTTTCATGGGAGCCCCTTTTATAAGGTTATATATCATTAAGGCTCATCAGTAGAGCAGAGAAGAATGGAGATGATGAGCTCTCTCAGCTACATGCTCCTTGGCACTCACTCTCATCCTCCAGAATGCATTTTAGGAACTGTCACATTAATTATAGCCATTAACCATTTTTTCTCAACTTGGCTTTCCAATCTTTTCCTACTGTTTTAACGAATACCAGAAACCGGTCTTGTTAAACATTCACCAAAAAAAGTACTGTAGTTATAATCACTGTATTTCTTAATTCCTTGATGCACGACTTTTTCATATTTAAATATCTGAAATGAGAATGCACCTTACCACTGATAGTGTTTTACAAAAAATTAGCAGCATTTTTTTCTTTCTTAGAAGTAACTGAATTAATGGTGTGTCTTAAATTGATGGCATTTTAGAGCCACTGAAATTTGGTTTATCAAATCATCTGACTTTGCAGACTAACCCTAAAGGACATGGATAACCATATCTGGTACTCAACTTCCAAACGAGGTCAAGTTCCACACATCATGGAGAGCCAACCTTCAACTTCTTAGAGATAACATGCCAATCAATCTGAATTTACATTTTGATCAATTGAAACAGCAAGAGAAATGCCATGGTCTACTGAACAAAAGCATGCAAAATGAGAGCATATCAACTCTATCTAGAGACTTGGGGACCTAGAGAACAAGCCAATTAACCCCAATTTCCTCTCTGTAAAACAGAGATAATGAGGGTTTGAAATTTACAGTTGCTAGTTCTTTGGTGATACAAGATGCAGTGAGGCATGTGGAAAGGCACACGACCAGAGCGAGGGGACCCACAGCCGGCCCTGACCCCAGCCGGTGGCCTTACATCTGACAGTGCTTGCTCCTTGGGGTTGTTGCCTCCTGTGTAAAGCAGGGGCTATGATAAAATGATTGCCAGCTTCCCTTCCAGCTCGCAACTCACCAAGACTCCTGGCTTGAGTGTGTTGCTGCTGATGTGTTTTGCTCTTTGTTACACAAACAGGAAAGAACTGCAGCTCCCTCGAGAAAGAGGGAACTACAGATGACTCAGGGACTGTGAGCCCAATTCCTGGTTGCCTTTTCCTGTTCAACTCTGCTTCTGAAAGCAGCAGCAGAAAGAGAACTGGGGCTGGCTCTGATGGCATTTTAAAATAAAGCAAGATGAAACCCATGGATTTAGAAAACAGAAGACTTCACAGTCTTATTCATCATTTTAAATACCTATGGTGTGCGAGGGAGGGCACTCAAAAAGTGGCAGTATCCACTCACTTTTTCCTTAAAAATCAGTAAGTATATCCTTAGGTGAGGATTTAAAAAAATCTGTTGGCTCCTCACCACTTTCTGGGAATCAGGTCCAAACCCTTTGGTGCAGAACAGAAAACCTTTCAAAATATGGCTTCAACTTACATGACCACCTCGCATCTGACCATGCTTCCGCCTATGCTCCCCCTGTCACTGTCCAGGCCCCACCTGTTCTTCATACCTTGACAGGTGCTGTTCCTTCTGCCAAGAACGTCCTTTTTCTCTTGCCAACTCGCCGAACTCTGATCTGGTTCTGTTAGTCCCAGCCCAACAGCACCTTCTCAGCAAAGCCTTTTTTTGCAATGCCCCCTGACTTGCAGAGAATCTCTAGAACATTTGTTCAGAATTCTGTGGTAGCCCTTACTGTGTTGTTCCACTCCGTGGCACATATTAGGCACTCAGATGTTTGCTGATGAAGTGAAAATAGTTGTTTAAAGGTAATACTAATCTGTGCCAAATTTCTGGAAATTATTTGTCTTATAAATCAGAAACATAACTGGCAATATGTTAAAATGCGCTATTCTTCCTCCCTGGCGTCTTTCTTTGTTTTGTTTACTTACACAGAGGACATAATTTTTTTTTTTTTACCTCTTCTGGCAACACCTCTTGTTCTTTTGCTTGAAGATACAGCTCTTGAAGCTTTTCCTTTAGAAGTTCCATTTCTATTTCATTTACTTGGCTCTCACTCAGGCAAACACCTGCTCCATACTCACACCCATCTCGATGATCTTCCTCAGGGATTTGAACAGCCCAGTCAGATGTCAACAGCTGTTGGATTACCGAACAAATATATGAACTGACTGAATGGAAAAGATATTCCACTGGATGACTCAAAGAATTTACAATTAAGTATCACTGACTAGATCCATTTAAATCACACCCTGTGACCACAGAAAAGCTTCTTTGCCCAGCACAATTCTAGATTTCATATCAACATGTTTTCCTAGTTACATGCTAAAATTTTTTTTTTTTTTAATTCTCACTCGAGGATATTTTTTCCATTGCTTTTCAGAGAGTGGAAGGGGGAGAGAGAGATAAACATCAGTGTGAGAGAGACACATCAATTGGTTGCCTCCCGCTCACGTGCCGACCAGGGCCTGGGATCAAGCCTGCAACCGAGGTACGTGCCCTCGACCAGAATCGAATCTGGGACCCTTCAGTCCTCGGGCCGATGCCCTAACCACTGAGCCAGACCGGATAGGGCTAAAATTTCATTTAAACCTAATAAACTTCAAATTCTAAATGAGTGACTATGGTTGTTTTTTCCCCTTAGTTCTTTTAATTTTTAAAAAATTTTTAATATATCTTTATTGATTTCAGAGAGAGGAGAGGGAGAGAGAGAGAAACATCAATGATGAGAGAGTCATTGACCGGCTGCCTCCTGCACGCCTCCGACTGGGGATGGAGCCCGCAACCCAGGCATGTGCCCTGACTGGGAATCAAACCCCGATCGCCTGGATCCTAGGTCAACGCTCAACCGCTGAGCCACGCCCGGTCGGGTTCTCTTAGTTCTTTATGCCAGAACTGTTCAATCTAAACTTTACCTGTTCTATTCTGGAGTACGCCTCCACAATCTCTGGGATATTATGGAATTCATTCAGAAAATTTTGGATCTTCATTTGGAAATCTCGAAGCCATGTAGAAGATACCTTCATCTCTGAAGAGTGCATGATATCATTACGACACTTAATCACCTACAGAAAGACAGAAAAAGATAAAAGGCTTCAAAGTCAAACAGTGGGGTAAACTGAGATCTTGTAGTTCCAAAGAAAAGTTGCAGAAAGGCTTTTTGTTAGTTACAAAAAATGTTCCACCCCCTGCCACTTGAACAATAAATTCATCAGGGTAAGAAATACAAACACGCTTACAACTATCCTTAGCCCTTGAAATCTTGTGACTGGCTGGATATCTCTTATAATTCCCCATATTCCTTAACTGAAAACAACCTGCAAAGAGCAAGATTATTGGCTACTGGCTCTGCATTCACCCAAAGACTGAAGTAGACAATGCAAAAATCCTTTAAATATCATTGGAGCTCCAGGAAACTGGGTCAAGGGAGTTTTTGGTTGCGGAAACCATGATGAAAAGACCAACTTTTGCCTGTATTTTAAGACAGATAGTATTGTCTAATCACATATTAATTAATGTGTGTAAAGTCTTCCACATCTTCGAGAGATAGCACAGGGGTCAACTTTGTACTGTGATAGTTTTTGTGTCTGCTGATATCATAGAGGATTCTGTCCTTTTGACTGCTGGCGACGTAGCAAAATATACATGCATGTTCTCTACATATTATAAATAACCCATTCAAATATACTCTCTTCAGTGACCTTCAGAGTAATAAATGTACCAGAGCTGTTCTCTGGTGAAACAGAGAAAGTCTAAGTCTCCGAGGAAATCTGACATAGTGATCTATTCTGACCTTTTTTATTCACTAATGTTCCTGTTTTCTCCAGTTCTATGCAACTTGATCTTGCCAATGAAATTTAGAAGGGCAGGACTCAAATGCTGGTATACATTAAATAAGTTAATGCAAGTAAAGCATTTGCTTGATGCCTGTCACATGTGAACAGAATGATGCATTGCTCTGTATATATATTTTTTAACACTGAAAATAACTTTGCTTCCGTTTATGGCAGAACAGAGAAATTTGAGGTTCACCAAGTTTAGTGGTGAAAGGTACAACGGCAGGTTGTCAGAAAGCTTTAATTAGGGAGAACAAAAGGGTCAGTCTCCTGACCATATTCGCACAGGAGTTCTTGGACATCACAGAAGGTACATGGCATGTGAGCCCCTCTAAGCAATACCAACTTTGAAGCAAAGTCTAAGTTTCTTGGCACATCACTGTTTTGGGGAAAGACCATATGCTACGCATGCACGCTGCTTTAGCATCACAGGGTGTGTTTCTCAGCTGGTCTTCACAGTACCTACATGGCTGACTTCCATTGTATGGTTTGAAATCTGACAGCTCTTACCTCTGTGACTTTCTTCCGATCAACCACGAAGTGATCACAGGAGTTGATGAGGCTTAAAAGAGCAACTGCATCACAATCCTCAGGTCCTGTTTTGTTTGCCAGTCCTCGGGGCATAAAGGCCTGTAGGAGGGGATAGGTGAGGGGTACCTAAGTCTCCCTCAATCCTATGAGCTACTGGGGCCAATGTCACTTGCCTGTTTTCCCAAAAGTTGACTGAAATTCTCTTATTGAAGTTTCGAGTTAGAGCCTCATGAGTCCAAAACACAAGTCAGGAAATCGGGTGATAGCTAAGCCTCGGCCAAAGGCAGTAACTAAAGGGTTGCTCTACCTGTCCCTCTGCTCTTAGAGACACTCAAACATTTGACACAACTGGTTTTCTGTCCTTTCTTAATGGCATGTAAGCAGGAAGCATGGGTAGAAAGCACCTAATTTCTTTTCCTTACTGAAGTGTCAGTGGCTGAGTTGTTAAAGAAAGATTTAAAATTTTAAAATAATAGTTACTCCAAAGTGGACACTAAAATGACTTGAGAAAGTTCAGTATGGTAGTATAAAGTTAAGAATCTAGGCTTTGAAGTGTGTGTGACAAGGCTGGGTTCAAATCCCAGCTCTGCCACATGCCAGCTGTGTGACCCTGGACAAGTTACTTATCCTCAGATCCCTCATCAGTAAATGGGGTAACTGTTCTCATCTATCTTGAAGTATGTTGTGAGAATTAAATAAGTTAATGAAAGTAAAGCATTTGCTTGGTGTCTGTCACATGCTAATAAACAGCCCATAAATGTTGGCACTTATCTCGATGGTGCAGGGGGAGCAGGACCTCCATAGGAGTTACAGATGGAATCCCAGGGTTTGAGGCACTAGATAATACCAGAAGGGCCTCGTTCTAGCATGATCTTGCCTTTTATAGCATTTTCTGGGACAAACCCCAAAAACGGTGTTATAGCGAGGCTTGGGCATATTTCTTTCCTGAAATATTTCCAAATTTACATCTGAAGGCAACAACTTTAACAAGCTAAGCAGCTCAGGAGTACATTCCTGCCAAGGGACTAGAGAAGATGACATGTGAAAAATTACGTGCAATGAGAACTCTAAATAAAGAGTTCCCTTGAAAACAAACACATTTCAGTAGGCAAGGGACCTGCAATACCTCCTACAGTGCTGCTGGGAATGCATTCCAAAAAAGGCTTGTGGGAGGCGTCGCCACACCCCAGGGAGAGTCAGGGCTATGTTCCTGATGGTGGCGGAATCCTACACCTGTCTCATGCAATTAAGAAAAATTCTGAATACCCTGTATGGCCCCTATCAAAAGGTTCGGTGGCCAGTACCATCACTGTCTTTCTATGTCTTAACAGCCACTGACATCCCAATCCTCTGAAAGAAGCCTGTTATGGATGCTACAGATGCTAACAGAGAAGTTAGCTAATGCATCACAGGCAAAGTAATTCAATAATAAGGAAGAAAAAAAGAAACTCTGCTTACTCCAGCTGTTGCTGAGAGGAAAATACAAAGTTAGAGGAGCCTTAGTTGCCTCAAAACCAGGCCTAGTTTTCCTTTCCCATTACAAGGTATGTTCTATCTGGCATTTTCTCACCAATATAAACCTGTCTCTTCCACATTAAAGTTTTATTCTAGTAATTATTCCCTTTCTTCAGAAATAGAAGTCAAAAGGGAGGCTCTAACACCTCCTTGCCTCTGAAAGCTGTTTCTTAGAATTGTGTCAAATACCATCGTGTTCCATGTGTTAAATGCACGGTTCTGTGAAACACACCTATTGCTTCTCGCTACTGTCTGCTGTCGCTGCACTGAGTAGTAGGAGGCGAGGTTGGAGAAATAAACAAGGGCCAGACCGCGCTGGGCCTTGCTCTGGAAAGGAGTTTGGAATTTATTCTAAGGACATCAGGAAGCCATCCAAGGGTTTTAGGCAAGGGAATAAAAGGATTTAAATTCCCATTTGAAAAGCACACAGCCTGCTGTGTGGAGAACCCACCAGAGGCGACCAGAGCAGCAGAGGCAGCTAAGTGGGAGGCTGCAGCCAGAAGCCAGGAAGGAGGGCGAGAGTTGTGACGCAGAGATGGAGAGGATTCCATAACTATTTCGCATGTATAAAGAGGGTAATGAGGGTTCAATAAAAGATGAAGCAAGAATGACTGTAGCCCTGGCCGGTGTGGCTCAGTTGGTTGGAGCGTCATCCCATATACTGAAAGGTTGTGGGTACGATTCCCGGTCAAGGCACATACCTAGGGTGTGGGTTGGATCCCTGGCCGGGGCGTGTACAGAAGGCAACCAATTGATGTTCTCTCTCACAACCAGGTTTCTCTCTCTCTCTTTCTGCCCCTCTCTCTAAAATCAATAAGCATATCCTCGAGTGAGGATTAAAAAACAAACACACACAGAATGATTGTAGGTAGTTGGTGGTGGGGCACTGGCGTAGGTTTGGAGGGGAGAGATGAAGAGTCCTACTTGAGAAGTCAATACAAAGTGCGCAGGAGGTAATGAAGTGGAGCAGTCGAGCAAGCAGTGGAAGATGGGCATCTGGAGCTCAGGCAGGGCTAGGGGCACAAATCTGGAGCCATCAGCATAAAGGTAGTATTTAATATTTCATTCCATGGACCTGGGCAGTATCACTAGAGGAGAAGGGGGGGCGGAAGAGGCCTGAGAAAGGCCAACACTCAGAAGGAGGCTGAGGAGGAGCCAGGGAGGTAGGAAGAAACCCAGGAGAGAGTGTCACAAAGCCCAGAGTGTTTCAAGAAGAGTGGTCAGGTATGCCTGAATGCCTGACAGGTAGAAAGAGGAGGATGGAGAATCAAAAGTCACATGTGCCCCTGACAAGAAAATTGGAGTGGGGTGGCAAGGGTGGAAGCCAGGGTGGAATGGGTTGAAGAGTCATTGCGAGCTGAGGAAAAGAGAAAGTAGGCATTAAACCCTTTTTTGAGACGATCTACTGGGTATACATATGGGAGGCAGAGAAATGGGGAGATAGCTGGAGGGATTAGATCGAGAGAAGTTTTACTTTCTCTTTATGTTCCAAATATTCATTCAAGTGTGCATGGGTTTTCTTTTAAAAAACAAAACAGCTTTATTGAGATATAATTCACATACCATACAATTGACCCATTTAAAGTGTAGTTATTTGCCCGGCCAGCATGGCTCAGTGGTTGAACGTTGACCTATGAACGAGGAGGTCATGGTTCAATTCCCGGTAGGGGCACATATCTGGGTTTCGGGCTCAATCCCCAGTAGGAGGCGTGCAGGAGGCAGCCAATTGATGTTTGTCTCTCTCTCTCATCACCAATGTTTCTATCTCTCTTTCCTTCTCCCTTTCTCTCTCTGAAAGCACTAAAAACATAAAAAACTCTTAAAGTGTACAGTTCTTTGCCACAACATGGATAGATCTTGAGGGTATTATGCTAAGTGAAGTAAGTCGGAGAGAGAGACAAACACTGTATAATCTTACTTATATGTAGAATCTAAAAAACAAAACACTTAGCTCATAGTACAAAGAACAGATTGGTGGTTGCCAGAGGCAGGGGTGGGAGAAATGGGTGAAGGGAGTCAAAAGGTACAAACTTCCAGTTATATAATAATCAAGTCTTAGAGATGTAATGTACAGCATGGCAACTACAGTTAATAATACTGTATCATATATTTGAAAGTTGTTAATAGAGTAGATCTTAAAAGTTCTCATCACAAAAAAAAAAGAGGAACTATATATAGTGATGGATGTTAGTTAGACTTACTGTGGTGATCATTTTGCTACATACAAATATAGAATCATTACAGTGTATACCAAAAACTGTTATGTGTCAATCAATAAAATTTTTTAAGTGTACAGTTCAGTGGTGTTCAGTATATTCAGAGCTGTGCAACCATCAGCACAATTTTAGAATATTTTCAACACCCCAAAAAGAAACCCTCTATCCATTGCCTATCAACCCCCTCTCTGCTCCAGACCCTGGCAACCACTAAGCTATGTTCTGTCTCTATGGATTTGCCTCTTCTGGAAATTTAATATAAATGGAATTATACGATATATGCCTAGCTTCTTTCACTTAGCATGTTTTCAAGGTTCACCCAAAGTTGCAGCATGTATCATACTTCACTCCTTTTTATGGCTAAATAATCCATTGTATAGATAAACCACATATTTCTTATCCATTCGTCAGTTGATGGACATTTGTGTTGTTTCTACCTTTTGGCTATTGTGAGTAGTGCTGCTATGAATACTTGAGCACAGGTTTTTGTATGGAAGTATGGTTTCATTTCATTGGGAATATATATACCTCAGAGTGGAATTTCTGGGTCATATAATAATACTATGTTTAATCTTTTCTTTCTTTTTAAAAAAAATCAAATAAGCCAAGGCACTATTAAAGCTATTTGTATGGTAATGGGAATAAGCTGGGAGGGAGGAAGAGTGGATAAATGAAGACTCAAAGTCCTTGAGCAGGTGGGAGGGGAAAAAGTCCAACACACAAGTGGAGGGACAGGGTGATAAGAGAGACACCCTTCCTCCTCTGTAGCAGAAGGTGGTGTACATGAAGGTAGGTTGGTAGGTCTGGTAAAAATGAAGAAGTATGTATCTGGGGGTATTCATCAACTCCAGGAAGGGTGAACAAGGTTAGCAGCTTGGATTGGGGGTGGAGGAACACGAGTGGGGGCTTGGCAGCAATAGTCATCTCTAGGAACAGGAACCTATAGAGAGACATGATCAGACTCCTGGGGCTCGTGAGCCAGAACTGTAAGTGACAAGATTTCATTTTTTTGTTGAATAATATTCCATTGTGTACACACACACACTCACATCTTTATCCATTCATCTACTGATAGACACCTAGGCTGCTTCTATATCTTGGCTATTACTAGTAATGCTGGAATGAACATAGGAGTGCATATATCTTTTTGAATTAGTGTTCCTGTTTTCTTCTTGCCATTTGTGACAAGGTGGATAGACCTAGAGGGTATTATGCTAAGTGAAATAAGTCAGACAGAGAAAGACAAACACCGTACGATTTCATTTATATTTGGCATCTAGAAAAACAAATGAACAAGCGAAACAAAATAGAAACAGAACCATAGATATAGAGAACAAGCTGATGGTTGTCAAAGGGGAGAGGGTAAGGGGATGGAGGAAAATAAAAAAATAAATGTTACTCATTAAAAAAAAAAAAAGAAAAACTGAAAAGTAAAACCAGTCAGCTTCCCTTGTGAGATTCTTCTTCTGAGCAGAAGCAGATGTTGGTGTCACCAGGGCTGGAGTTGGGCCAGGCAAGTTCAGAGCAAGGAAGGAAAAGGAGGACGGGGCTGGGAAAGAATGTGAACACAGGGTTGGACTAGAAGGTCTGTAGGTAACAGCAACGAAAAGTGGCATAACCAGGTGGCCTATGCTTCAAGAAGATCCCGAGGGTATAAAAAGCAGCAACAGAGACCAAACAGGTGAGGGACGGTCGTAGTGAAAGGTAGAGTTTTAAGTTTTTTTCTTTTCTAGGTAAAAGGAGAAGTTGGCAATTCTATAGCGGCTTTAAAAAAAATGGGAAGACCATGCAGGTGGTGGGTTTACTGGGCCAGGACAGCCAAAAGTCCAGGGGCCGTGGATATAGTCCAACTTCATTTTTGAGGTTAGGGAACAGAGGCTGGCCGAGTGTCACACCCCAGCAGCTGAGTTGGTGATTTCTGCTTCTCAGGCACCAAGCCTGTGCCTGCTGCTAACTGGCATGAGGACTGATTCCAAATGCTACTTTGTGTTAAGAGGCCACTTTGACTGCTTCTCCCCACCGCCTACGCAGGCTTCTGGCAAACATTAAAAAGGCAAAAAAAAAAAAAAAAGTCCCCAAT